GAAATGATAAATAAAAAGAAAGCTTTCTTCTGAATTCTGACTGCGTTAGAACTAAATCAAGGAAATTGACTTCCGTGTTTGGTCACATGACTTGATATGGCACAAAAATATAAGAACCTTTTCGATTGGCTGGTTGCCGTACGTTCTCTACAAAGGCGCGGGAAATTACTTGCAAAAATTGCTTCTTGCAAATTCTTGTGTTTCAAGCAATTGATTTCAAATTTGAATCTGAAATTGCTCTCAGAAGCGTTACCAAGGTTTGCACTTTTATGAAAACCAAGTCTCTAACTTCCCGACGAAGGGCCTTGGAAGTTTTACTTGTATTTTCCAGGTAGTTGAATTCATCTCAATCCACAACTTTCTGGTGTTATTATCACTACGCTGGTACCAACCGTTCGAGTTTAAGTAAAAAAGAAAGCCTTCCAAAATAATTGACAAGCTGTCAAATGTTGTTTTACAATGCATTTCAGTCTTTGGCGTTATGCAATCAATGCAGGAATCTGTCTATACCTATATCGGCTACAAGTAGTTGAGTATCCGTACAGCAAAATTTTAACGGACATTCTAAGTGCCCTTTTTAAATGGCTTCCCCCTCCACTTCATGTTACTTCCAGTTGCCTGCGTTGTACAAGTTTTGTTGCCTTAAGACACAGAGTATCTCAAAGTATCCAGGTAAAAAGGTAAACGAATTTTATTTGTAAATGTTTAAAGACAATATTCTGGCATTATTTTACGAATCGAATAAATATATACTTTCAACGAATTATTATTCTATTAACAGTCGGAACGTGATTCTGTTGACGTTTCTGATATTGAATTGAGAGCGCCTAAATGTCAAAAACAACTATTGCTTCCAACCCGTTTTGCGTGAGGTGACCGCGTATCACGTAAAACTGCTGTAAAGAAAAAAAAAGAAGACAATTACTCTGTTTACGGACGGTTTACATGATCCTGGGACGAGATGAGACTATGAGAGACGGGATGATTTTGACGAATTGGAATAATCCACGGTTCCCGATTCAGCAAAACTGCATCAGTATTTTCCTAGTGAGAGCAGTTTAAAGGCCCGGTCACGCTATACACAAGGATAGATGGAAAACACGGAGTCGGAGTTCCGGAGTTGGAGCCCCGGAATCGGAGTCCCGGAGTCTGACGTCATAAAAGTATGGAAAACACGGAGTCATATGGAAAACATGGAGTCCGCCGTAAAATATGGAAAACACGGAGTCTGACGTAAAAAATATGGAAAACACGGAGTCCGACGTATTGTCAACGTGAATATGGAAAACAGTAATTAAATAATATATAATTGATGCAAATATAAACAAAGCGACCGAATTATAACGAATTTCTGGACTAATTCTGGTTATTTCTCTAAAATGCCGTGAAAATATGGATTCTTTTTCTGAATAAAATCAAGCAAATAATTATCACTTATTTACTGAGACCGAGGGAAACAGTGTGTTTTGTGGACCCGAGACCGTCGATGTTTCCTGAGGCGAAGCCGAGGGAAACATCGACGGTCGAGGGTCCACAAAACACACTGCTTTCCCGAGGTCTCAGTAAATAAATGTTTTATTATATATCAATAGTCAAAGAAACAACAAATTAAAGAACAAATGAATGTAAATACATATTAAAATATTTTATTGTTAAAACGTTATAGTAAACACTGGCTACACTGCAAAAATAACCTTCATTGAGGCCAATCAGATGCCTGGCCCTCGTGAGTATGATTCTTACCAGAGTACCTCGTGCTCTCGCTTGACTACGCGTAAGGGCTTTCGGTGCGAGATTGTTCGGTTGCCATTTCAAGTACAGTACTTAACTTTATGTTATATGAACATTTCAGTTTTTTCGACTCACAATTGTTTATTATGTTGCAGAT